AGACTTTTTGAAATGTATTATTTCAATGTAGAAAGAATTGGCACTTGCTTTGAAAAGAATAGAAGTTAACAATGTACTACTAATGTATGTTTTCAAATGTGTAAAATTAACGGCATGTTGATATGTTCTTATATACATGTGAACTGTTATTTTAAATGTTAAGAAATACCGTGATATGGTAAAAGTGAAAGTAATGTTTAAAAATTTGTTATTCGTGTGACTGTAAAGATTAAATCATGGCGAATATGTGTTAAAGGTTGAATGATGTAGTTAGGCTCTCTGACGCTACACTTCAGAGTTAGCCACTTTTCAGAATAGTACCTCAGGGTTTAGAGTTGAAAGTAGGGTGTGTTAAGAGGTCTCGTTATGTTGAATTTTAACACGTTAGTGTTTTGATTGTAGGAGGAAGTGTGGCACACGTAGACAGAAACACATTCGTGTTTGGTGTTCTTTTACAACACATGTCAGAGAGCACGGGGAGAGATAATTAAAATAGTCATGAATGAAATAAGAATGTTAAGAGAAGTATATTCTATATGTTATTTGCCATGTCATTCTGTAACATTTCATTAAACTAGTTTTCCTTCCAGATCTCTGGAAGGAACCAGAATTGAAATAAAGCTCCTGTTTAGATGCAGTACAGATGAAAAAAAGATTGTTGTATATCCTGGGAGCTGCTATTGTAACAAATTTCTTTCTTTTTTAAATTTTCTAGTTTCTAGCGAAGTTATGTTTGTAAAAGGTTGGCCTCGCGTTAGATTTCTAGAGCTAAAAGTTTTCAACAAGGTCGTTTTAGACCTCAGTTTCAAACTAATTAACTCTGGCGGGAAGTATGTAAGGATCTTAAGTTTTACTAACGTTTATTTTATTTTAAATCTTTACTATCACTTCTTATTTTCTACTTCCGGCCAGAATTATAAGCGTGAAGGTTTTTATGCAAAGTTTGTCTGGCGAACGCCAAGTATTTAAGTTGTGGCCTTTTTGCCAAGCAAGAGAGAGGAAGCAGTGAGTCCAAGCAGGCCGCTTACCTTAGAAGTTACGCAGTTGCTGTTTGCCTTCCAGGCCAGAGGTTTTAATCCTCTTGATAAATTAAACGTATTGTAGTGTTCACAGTCTCTGTGCTACATACGCTTCCTGTTATTATAAGGCCAATCTTCCACGTGTATTATTCTAAAGTTAAATTAGAGTTTAGTTTTATTTTTATACTTTTACGTTAGACCCCGAGTGGAGGGTCAGTGTATTCCGAAGTACGGAAGTTATTGTATATAGAGAAAAATAAAGGGTTTTGTATACCCTTCGTCTGTATCCTGTCTACTTACCACAATTAGTGAACATAGCTTTAGTAAGCTCTCTGTTCCGAGTCAGGTCCGTGTATGTTCCCGAAGAAGGTTAGAAGGAACATTGAACCTGATAATTTAAAAAAGGTTAGAAAAGAATAGATAATGATCTACATTTTCCTATACTTAACAGACGCAATTATAGCTATTACAGAGGTTCCTGTTAAGAAAATTTTCTGGATGTGGACCATGATCGGTGAGTTAATATCTTAGGAAGGACTTCGAGCTTTTGATTTCTGTACTGAGTTTTAGGAAGAACTGGTGGGTGTGCCAGCTTGTTGTGGCGTCATTCCTTCTCGTCTTGTCTCTCGTGGCTTAGATGTTTGTTTAGGATTTGTCGTAGTTGCAATTTTGGAAACTTGATGTTGAGAACTTGCCTTCTTGGAAAAGAGCTGCTTCTTTTCGAAGATTGTCGGCAGTGTCGTTGCTAAAGTTGCAGCTGTGCCCTTTGATCCCAATTATGGTTGATTCAGCATTCGAATCTTTAGAAACTGGATTAATTTCATAAGCCAGCTGAGAATCGTTGTCTCGATTTCAGATGGAGAGTATGGCTACTTGGCTCTCTGAGATAATAGATAATTTGGAGAAGTTGTTTATTGACGCAATGTTGATGGAAGCTATATAGCTGTGCGTATCCCTATGATGTATGCTGTTGGAGTTGTTTAAATACCCTTTCCATTTTATTTCGGTGTCCAGATGTTGGACGGAAAGAATGCTGCACATGCGACTTTTCTTTCGATTTTTGAACCATCAGTGCTGGCTTCAATTGTTTTCTTTGTTTCTTGGGTCGATATTCTTTCTTATTTTTATTTTGGTATAAGGATCTGTTCTTTTGTATGGAGGAGGACGTTGTTCGTAATTATGTGCAGAATAGATGTAATCCTTGAATCTGATGCTTTTTCTAAGTTGAAGAACTGAACAGTAAATATTTCGAATCGAATGCTTGAAGATGTAGCGGTATAATGCCTGCCAAGACATTCAAAGCTGCAGTGGAAGTAGTCCGAAAGCCGCGCGTGATATTTAGTATGAACTGTGGCAGTATGGATGTTAGAAATCTCTTTTTTCTTTACGTCATCGTTAGGGCCAATATCGCCACTCCATATGTAAGGATTTTTCTGATGATGGTTTTGTATAGAATCTTGGTGATGTAAGGGTTTAATTTCCAGTCAAATACTTGCATCCTGCGAAGGTTTTGTCCAATTTAGGGGGTGAGAATCTTTATATCATGAAGTGATATAAAGATGAATCTTTGTCGAGTGATATAAAGATGAATCTATGATGAATCTTTGGTCTAGTTGTAGTCCATGATATTTTAATGATTTGATGTTTTTAATTTTACTTGTTTCTATTTTCATACAGAATTGTTTTGTAATTTTTTGACTAGGCTTATGAATAGTAATTACTTGAGATTTGAGGATGGAGATTTCCATTTTATGTCTTTTGCAATGATGCCGGAATATATTAAATATTTTATAGCAGTTTGGCTTAAGGATTTTTTGCATTCTTCCGCTGATAGAGAAGGTGACATCATCTGCAAACAGTGTAATATCGACAACGTTTAGCCATTCCACTTTTATAATATTATTGACAGTGCTGTTCCAAAGATCTGCTATCATGCAGGCTTCTTGGATATATCCACGTGTTGTACTGTAGTACCTATTGTGGTATTGTGCAATATAATGCTACTGCGATCTTGGAGGAAGGTTTCCGCGATTTTGAAAATATTGAGAGGCCAGCAGATGTTGCGGAGACACTGGAGGCCGAGGGAAGATTACTTATTTTATGGATATAAACTGTGTATAGGACTGATTGTATGGCATGAGTTGCCGATTTTTATTCTTTGAAATCATATTGTTTGTTGCTAATATGTCCTTCATGATGGAAGTGGAGCTTTAGCCTCCCAGCAACACGGAGTTCTAGAATTTTCCCTAGAACAGGAAGCAGATTTATTGAGAGATAAGCATTTGGAATGTGGGGCATTTTACCTTTAAAAATAGGAAGATTTGGCCAGTTTTAAGACATTTAGGAAATATATTAAATTCAAGTCATTTGCTACGAAGTTGTAGAATAACGTCGGACTGGCTATGTTGGACAGGAGTAACGATTTGGTTGCAGATTCCATTGATGTCTGGGGTTTCTTGTTATTAAGATTTTTTATAATTTGCTTTAATTCTGTCTGAGTGAATGGTGGTTGAGTTTGTAGAATACTTATAACCGCGATTAGTCTTCAAATCCTCTCGATTTCACGGGCTGACCGACAAACGATTCTGCAACTTCCCTGATAGTCCTCAACTAAACGAAACAAAAGACGTAAAACATAGTAAAAAGGCTAAATATTCGTGATTAACTCAGTCTGAAAAATGTACCAGACAGAGCAAGTACAACACTCTGAAATTACCAACTGGAGAGATCTGCTGTTGGTAAGATCCTCACATAATGAGGAAAATAACTGTACTTTCCTTTAGCAACTACGTATATTTCTGGTCCTATGCATTTAAATATTGATTATCAGTTTGTTGTCGATGTTATGATATTCAGTTTCTGGTAGATTTATAATAAATATGTTTGACTTCAATATTGCAGTGTGAACGCCACTAAATCAAGACGTAACTGGAGAATAAATTAATCACACAACTGGAGATGTTTCCATCTCAACAAGGGAAAAAACTTTATAAGAAACTAGAGAGAAATCTTTTCAAGAAGAAAATAAGGTGTACTTGGTGCTAAATTGCTTTACGTTTCTCAAAAGGAATTCAATAGTTCGGGAAATATCTGACATTGATCACAACCACTCCTGAAAGCGATCAGTATTTCAGAGAATATAAATAAATATTGGTATAATATGCCTATTTAGTGGTGCTTCTCATTAAAAAATAAGTAAATTTTTAATTACGTATAAACATTTGTCAGGTGTCGACTGCCATTTAAATGTTAGGTAAATGTTTGTCACTCATCTGTTTGAAATTAAAATTGCACTTTATGCTCGCGCAGCCAACATTATGAATATTTTAACGATATATTTGTAATATAATACAAATTTATACAGTACACTGCTGGCGCCATTAAAATTGCAACACCATGAAGGGAGCCGATATCGAATGCAAGCAGGCAACGTGCGGTCTCCTGGGACACTCCAGACACGGCCATCAGAACATTGCACGTAGCATGAGCCTCAGAAATCCATTGATTCCATATTCGCATGACAGTAGTTGGATGTCGACCAGTGTGACTGGCGACATCACGGAACGATAATCTACAATTTTGATAGACAAATGATCCTGCCTCTATCGAATTTCGACACTTTCTGGTAAACATTTCCTCTTCTTATTCGAGGCATAACACGGTATTCGGAGCACTTTCCAACCTTACAAAGCACTTTCCGAATGAGAAATCCACTACACAACTTTTCTTTTTTGCGGTGCTTCAGATGTCGTTTCTCCCTCCTGCGTCGTCTACAGCGCTGAAATGCTAATCTTTTGCATAATGCAGCTTCTTCTTCCTTTTATGTGATTTTGACGTTCTTCAGATCATTCGTTTCTGGTGTTGCAGTTTTAATGGCCAGCAGTGTAGTTAATAATCTATTAATACTTAATCACATACCTCTTGAATGTTTCGCTTATTATTTCAATTGTCGAATTTAATACGAATTAACCTGTTTTACAGATACAGATGAAAATCCTGAAAATGCAAAAGAATCGAAAGAAATTCACTCTCTGCAAAATAAAATTTGAAGGCTGTAAAATTTTATTGTTAAAAAAATTTCCTAAACGAATATTTATTATTGAAGTAATTTATAAATATCACAATGAATATGCTGTACTATCCCATGACTACTTTGTATATAAATGTCCTATACTGACTTGGAACAGTGTATTATTGTATATGTACATTCTAAGTTATATATTGAGTTTTATTTTTAAAAAATGTATTTTTCTCTGTGGGACTAACCCTTTTGGAAACTTCTGTGCATACATTATAAGTCATAGAATGTATTTTATTGGAAATTTAAAGACGGTTTGAGAAAACTTCCATTGATATATATCTAATTACGTCTAAAATTCGCGGAAATGTCATGTCATGCATAAAAAATTTTAATAATTAAATTTGGCCGAAGATGTCAGCGTACTCTCTGTAGAACATATGTATGAGATGACATAAGTATAAACACTGAACTTCGTACTGTAGTAGAAAGGGAAGGAATTCATCGCTCAAGATATTTATTTAAAAGAACACAGTTCAAGGTATTTAAATGACTATAACAGATAGTCTGTGGCCAAAAGCAAAATGGTCATTCCAACGTTTCCAAGAATCAGAGGAGCTTTGTATGTATATACACATACACAATCTCTGCTACAAATGTATAACCTTAGTACTGAGACAATACGCACTGCGTGAGAGTGAAAATGCAGTACCATGAACGCGCGTGCAGGAAGTGATAAAAATCGGCAAAAGGAGACACATCGCACAATAATAAGAACTTTATTACTTTACTTTTAACTGGAACGACAAAACGATAAGAATTTTATTGCAACATTATACTGTTTTAAAAAGAGTGTCTATAGAGCATGCACAGTAAGTTGTAAAACTACAGTTGGTGGCTATATAGGCAGCAACACGTCTAAGTACAGATGCCAAAAAAGTGTTAATTGTCTACTGAGGGATAGGAATCCATTCTTTGCTAATCCTTTGCCACAGTTTGTCATCTGAACGTGCGCAAGCGACGTCCAATCACATTTCAGACATATTAGATGGTTGAGAGATCCGGGGAAACACGTGGCCAAGAAAGCCGCTGGGTAAGTTACAGGGCATGTTAGCTGATGCGCGCCGATGCGGTCAATTGTTACATTGCTGGTAAATTGAATTTGGCACCCCTGAATGGATGGAGGATAATATTACCGGATGGATTATGTCAACCACTTGTCATTGGGTCATAATACTGCCAACAATATGGACTATGGTGTTTTGCTATCGCAGACATGTGTCCTGCTATCGCAGTTCTTGCCATCGCGTCTCACCTGCATGCTGCAATTCGTTGCAGGGACAACTTGCTGGTTTCATTTCGATCACCAGAATCCTGATGTACTCATATGTCTGCTGGAAGTTATTCGGTTGTCAGGCGGTGTCTTAGCATTTTCTGTAGTAACGCTTTCTCTGCGACAGAAAACCAATTCTCAAAACGATTACCCTGCCCGATGGAGCAGCGCAACTAATGTCATTTCTGCAGATTCCTACCTTTATTTCTCGCTTTACTTGAGCGAAAATGCAAGGCATTTCGAATCATTTACATAACTCGGTGCCTGTGTCGCACCGATGCATATCTGCATGTCTGCAATATGCATATTTTTTGGAGTATGCGTTCACAATGTTGCGTTTTCACTCAAAATCAATTCAAATTGTCAGATAGTGAATACGGTATTTCATTACCAGGTTACGTATTCGTATGAGGGGTAGTGTACACTCAGACAAGTTGGAAACACATAGAAGGGCGAGGTCGGAAATGACACATACATGTGGTAGGTTATACAGATAATGAATATGATTTTTAATAATAAATGTGTATTCACAGAACTAACGGAATTCAACCAAGGGGGCTAAAGCGTGCTCCACGACCCTGACATTATACACGCTACACAATGTACGGCCCAATTCTGCGGCGCTATTTTTAAAATCCGAATTTATTTAAATTTTTAAAATCCGAATATTTTAAAAATTTTCGGATAGATCTCGGACCTCCTCCGGCAGCTATAACGATGTTTGAAGCCAATCCTTCGGCCATGTCAACGAGGATATTTTCTCATGTCCCAGAAGAAGTAAGCAAGAGATGATAGGTACTATGATAGAGCAAGCAAGTTCAACACACCATCGTATCGGATACATTGTTAGCTAAATGTAATGTCTACGTAGTTGCAAACGTTACAGATGAAATGGGCGCGGAACTCACAATACTGGAACCACAAATAAGACTGTATCGATAAGACTGTGGAGTAACACAAATAAGACTGTATCGATAAGACTGTGGAGTAACACAAATAAGACTGTGGAAAGCTGTTAGTTATTCAAAAGATGAAATAACACGGGCTCCAGAAATGTCAAATAATTGTCACTAGTCAGACGTAAAGCTAACAAATAAGACTCAATGATGTGATCCCTCGCAGTGCCGACCTAAACATTCACAGCTAAACTGTTCTATGCTGCATGACGTCGTGTCGCATATGAGCTCCCTATAGTCTACACATGGAAGAAAGATGAGTTGATGATTCCTTTTCTTTATAAAGCACAATTCATCGGGAGAAACACAGAAGCAGGGTGACAGGAGTCTGTAGCATATTGCTGCAGAAATTACTACGCAAATTTAGGTTCTTTGAGTACGGAGAGCACATAGGAACTATCTGCCTGCGAGTTTGTTTTAGTTTGCTTGATTATGGATAATTTTTTCGACATTTATTAACTTAGAATTTTCAAGCTGCAAAATTGCGTAGTTTGACTTCCTATTACAGTGCAGTGTTGTGTTTCAGTGTCTATGTGCCTTTGGATTACTATGGAATACCTTTATACAGATGAAGGACAGATGAAATACTGCTGCCAAGGTAAGAAAATTTGACTTTTTCCTGTATTCCAGATAGAAATCTAAAAATTCAGCACCAAACGCAGTACAGTACTGTACAGAAAACTTAGATCCTTTTCCCATACGATGAGTGACACAGATTCCTCCACTTACTCGAGAGAATTTGCTTTGCAAACATTCATTACCTCGGACATAAGCTATACTGAGAAGATTGATAAACTCACTGACGAAATTAAAAAGATCGCAACTTCCTTTCGAGGTGGCAAAAATATTCTACCCCTAGGCTTGCGAAAGCAACTGATAGACACGGTTGAAGCCTTCCGAATTCTGGCTTTGGGAGTATCTGAGTATATCCCACCTCCGGATACCGTCGATAAAGCAGTCAACACATCCAGTATTTTTCGCGTGTGAACTAGCAAGTCAACAGCAACACATCACAGCTGCACCTAATCTAGCGCAAAAGGCAACAGACAATCGAAAGTCCTACGCAAGTGTAACGGCGCAAAAGCCTAAACACACCTTGCTGATCTACCCTAAAGACCCGTCCACAACATCCAGGAAAGTGTTAAAAGAAAAATTGACTGCTGAATTTCCGTTACCCACATTGGGAGTTCAAGTAGCAGCATTAAGATACATCCCGCAGGAAGGACTTGCAGTGGATTGCCATACAAAGGAGGACATTCACGCACTCTCGGAAAAACTGCAGACTGAAAAGGCTAAAGAATTCTTGCAAACCAAGATCCCAAGCACAAGGCTTCCCAGGGTTGCTATACACAATATCCCATTAAGCGTTACACAGGAGGAACTTGGACGAGTCATCAGTTTAGAACTCCATATTAACAAGAATAATGCCAAAATCCTGTACAGGCTCAAAGAAAGGAGTAACACAGTCAAGTGGATTGTCGAATGTAATCCCGATGCCTTCCAACAACTCATGCGCTCCAGAAAACTACTCATCGGCTGGCGGGCACATCGAATCTCAGAGTACTTCAACACTAAGAGGTGCTACCGCTGTCAGCAGCATTTGGCCATACCCAGCAGGGATGCCAAAATAAAATCTATTGTGCATACTGCTCGGGGAATCATGCAATCAAAGACTGTCAAGCCAGACGAGCCACATGCATCAACTGTGCAGACAGTAACTACCGCAACCGAGACAATAAAGCTTGCGACCATCCAGCATATGATGTTGCCTGTCCAACATACACGAGATACGTCGAACGGATCAAACGCAGCACTATCTATGAATAGTCTATCTGCTACTAATGCTAACAACAACACGCCTGTAATCCAATCTAATAATAACAATAATCATATGCAGATTCTCTCTCCACATACTATACCTCCATCAAGCAGGAACATAGGTACACTAAGCACAAGTATCATCAAATGCCTGCAAATCAATCTTCAAAGGGCTGAGGCGGCAGCAACATCTCATGTCCTCACGCAAGTTATTTCCAACGACATAGACCTCGTAATCATGCAGGAACCATACTGTAGAGAAGGTCACGTCGCTAGCTTACCTATTGCATGGAAAATATACCAAAAGGAGTCCCCGACGGCAGATCTTGCTCCTAGAGTAGCAATTGCCTGCTGCAACCCCGCATGGACACCACAAGTCATCAAGCTGCATAGGGATTATGTCGCCATTCTAATCATTTTTGAAAATATGCAATTTATCCTTACTTCGGTGTATTCACCACCAACAGATGCAATTGGCAGCACTGTCGCCCACATAAGCGAAACAAGTAGAAAATTTCCAAACACAGCTCAAGTCATAGGAGGCGACTTTAATGCCCATCATATTATATGGGGGTATAGTACCACAAATCCAAAAGGGCAGGAGCTTGAAGATTATATTGCGGCAAACAATTTACAATTGCACAATACAACGAATGCACCACCTACATTCGATAATTCGTACAATCAAGGATGGCCAGACTTAACGATCTCAACTTATGATATTGCTAACAACATACATTCATGGCATGTCTCAGACTCTGAAAGTTGTTCAGATCATAAATACGTAGAATTTACTATACAAACAGATACCACCATTTCTATAATTAAACGCTATAGGCTGCCAGGTAACAAGGTTAGACAATTGACCCAGGCCTTTACTCGTCTCCTGCAAGCAAAAGAATTGCAGCTAGAATCTTGCAACAACTCAGAACACCTTGATTCCCTTGCACAAGGACTTCTAGAGGAACTTAATGAAATATGTCAACAAATTTTACCCCTCCGTACAACCAAGAAATTACAAGGAATCTCTTGGTGGACCGGCGAACTAAGGCA